TTCTGTGGCCATTTCACCTTCAGGCCGAGTTTCTCTAGTGCGTACACTATTTCTGAAGGAGACACACAAAAATTGTGAGCAGATAAGAGTGGTGGCATACCTCTTTCGTTTCGCTGAGTCCCTGTATTCGGCCTGGACGGCCCTTCTTTGTGGCGAGGAGATGGAAGGATGGGCGTCTGATATATGTTTGGTGCCTATCCCGGTTGAGGCGTGGACCTGAATGGTCTCTTCGGCCATCATTACGACGATCTTTCCTCGACTCTATTTGGACTGACGTTAGACGTTGGATTGGACCGTTGAGGTCATCCTCGTTTGCTCTCACTTCGGCGTAGTAGGCGTTATGGATTTCTTCCAAAGTGGTGGGAGGGTATTTCATGAGTATGCTTAACAATTTTCCGGTCGCCCTCGACCCATTCCCGTTTATCCCATTTTGGAAATCTGCGACCGCCATCCCTTCTAAAACGTTTGGCAATCTCATTCTTACTCTGTTAAATCGAGTGAGGAAATATCTGAGTCCCTCGCCTGGCGTTTGCCTGACGGCGAATATATCATTTACCCTGGCCTCCTCCTTCTTAGCTCCGGCATGGGCAGTGACAAACTTGTCGGCCATTTCCTCGAGCGTTGTTACTGAACGTGCTGGTAATTATGAGTACCATGTTAAGGCTCCCCCCGTTAGGGTTTCGCCGAACTTCTTTACCAACACTGATGGTACCTGCTTCTTTGAGAGGTCGTTGCCTTTTACCGCTGTGACGTAATGAATGGTGTGATCTTCGGGGTCTGTTGTGCCGTCGTATATCTTTAAATATGGTGGCATTTTGAAGGTCTTGGGTATGGCATGTGGGGCTGCTTCCTCGCTGTATCGTTGTTCGACGAACCTGTCGACATCCCGTTTTGGTAGCAGTTTCGGGGCGCCCGGTATCTTATTAACTCTTTCTTGGTGTTCCCTCATCTGGTCGCGGAGCGCTTTATTCTCGTTCTCCATTTCTTCCATTTTCTTTAGGATGGCCGCAAGTGCGTCGTTACCTGCATCAACAACGGTGTGAGTGTTACCTGTTGCTCGTTAGCGGTTGCTATGGTATCCGCTTGTATGGCGTTTCTATTCGTCCGTTGAACAGGTTTGTCGAGTATGTCGCTTAGAGTGCTTGTCGGCCACGTCTCCAGTAGTTTTTTGATTCCTGGTGGCGCTTCCACAGTTGTGGACGTGGAGGCTCCCCCTTCGCGTGAAGCGGTTACACTTCCATGAGGGGGAGGTGAGTCGCTCCGCCTGGATGTAGCACTCGGCGTCGCATTCTCTTCGCCTTCTCTGTCAACCTCGTTGATGGTGTTCAAGAGGTTGTCAGTGACGTCTACTACTGCTTTCAGTCTTTCATCTCCTTTTCCTCCCATTGTTAGTTCGTGCAAACGAGAAAGAGATGAATGATGTTGTTGTTTTTTATTTTTTTTTTATTTTTTTTATCTAGAAGGAACTAAAATTTTAGCTAGAAAGTCCCCACAGACGGCGCCAAATTGCTCGACCAAAAAGTGTTAAGCTTTTTGTTAAACTAATTAATGAGAAAATAGGGAGTGGATCCTAGTTAAACATAATAAGTTCTACATCTGAGATAATGGAATCTCCGTAGGATGAGATCGCGTTCAAGAACAATAAATACCAAGTATATATTCAATGATTGTCAATGAATGCAATAATAATAGCATACAATAAGTGTAGATAATGACAATAAATATAATAAGGAGGAAGTTATCACCCAAATGTTAGGTGACTTGGGTGATTCTTCTTCTTGACAGCAGCGTGGGGTGACAAGCAATGAAGAAGGATAAGGAATCTTTGGATCTTGCGAATGAACCATGTAAAACAAGCAATGAAATCAGTGAATAAGCTTTTGTATATTCTCCCCCGTCAACCCTTTACAATGTGCTCTTATCAAAAAGTGAAGATCCCCTTTTTTGTTCTTTCTCTCTTCCTATTTATAGGGGATGTTCTTAAAAAACCCTAAAAAAGTACAGCCGGAGGAATATTTAGTGGAATATTCCTCCTTTTTAATTTAACTTATCCTACCGTTATTCTCACAACCTCTGCTTGACCTCGGCCGTAATCTTTCTTAAGGCGACTCCTCGCCCTCACGCAGTGTGGTAGGCTTATTCTTCGATCACGTCCATTTGTAGCAAATAAGTCTTAGCCAAATTCTGACCCATACAATAACGATAATTCATATCATCGCTAATATAAACCAATTTTAACTCTAAGCTCCCGTCTGACCATTTTGGCTTCAGTTTTTCCATTTTTTTTGTTTTTCAAAACATTGTTTGTTTATAAAATATGATCATGTTTTTGAGGGAAAAAACTTCAAAAATTTTCAAGTTTCCAAAAACTAGTTTAGGGCAGTTTTTGGATGAAAATATTTCTTTCACTCACAAAACTTTAATTTTTCTTCGAATAAAATGCATGTCCAAACACATTTCATAAACTATCTTTTTCAAGTTTCTAATTAAATTTATATCCAAACGCTAGCTAAGAATCGATGATTTACCTAGTTAATTCGATCGTTGAAGATTTTATTTTTTGTTTTTGTTTGTTGAATTGCCATGACGACGAGTCCACGACAGTGGCAAAGTCCGTAGTAGATACATAAACAAAAGACTTGAAACATCTTCTTCTAAACCTTAATCCCTGTTTGGTACTAATATTCTTGTCTTCTACTTCAATTTTCGAATAAAACATTCTTTAAAATGACAAATTATAGTTTGAGAACTAAAACGAATGCGTGACAACATCCGCATGAGATAGAGAGGAGCTATGGTATTTTTACATTTTTAAATTACACATGCAAAATGTAAAGATGACATAAATTTAAGTTATATATATTTTTAGTGCTACAATACGTAAAGATAACCTGATAGCGTAAATAAACCTTTATACTAAGTGATTGTTTGGTTTGAAGAAAAGTTATGCTGAGATTAATTATGCTAGGATTAATTATGCTGAAATTAGTTATCCTGGTATTATTTCTTATTGACTATTTGGTATATTTTATTAATCCAGGTATTGTCAATTTTACTACTTTATCCTAGTATAATTTATCCCGAGATTACTATTCCACCCCAGACATGTATAAGTTATCCCGATACTAGTTTTAGTTATTGGATAACTTATTCCAGGATCAGTAACCAAATAAGGGATAAGGCGGTGCTAAATTTTTATCCCAAAATTATTATTGCTTATCTAACATACCAAACTACCCCTAATAGTATATATTCCCTCCGTTCACTTTTACTTGTCCACTATACTAAAAATATATTTTCAGTTTTACTTGTCCCTTTTAGCAAATCAAGAGAATTTTTTTTTTCTTGTTTTATCTTTATCATTAATTATTCATTCCCCAATTTATTTCCCAAAACTTTTTGAAATACTATCATTATTTGGGGTTATATGGTAAAAATAAACTGAAGGTGTATTATGACCTTTAATATACCTCTCAGCTAGCCCAAATTAAATAGAAATCAATGACATTTTCCTCTTTTGGTGCTATTTAACTTGTGTAATTAATTCTTGTGACAATTTTATGAGTATTAAAGGCAAATCTCTCAAATCTTGCCACCTTCAAGTAATCTATAGTGCAGTTATCACATGATAAAGATTGGTTGCCATAACTATTTCATGTTATCAATGAAGAAGTTCAGTACTTGCACCATTGATTCACAATATTTTATTCAACTCCATTAAAGAATGTTCAACTTCAGACAATCAAAACAAAACAACCAATACAAAACAAATATACCAGAAACCTATTAAATTTTTTAAAATTCAAAACCTTGAAATTTACGGTGTGTTTTTAATAAATGTACTTTGGTCAAACTTGTGCAGTTAATTCATTTTTACTCTCACTCTCCCACCTCTCTGTTACCTAGGGAATATTTCTTACACTTTATGAGTTGTTTTTTTGGTGTTTAATACTATCTCCGGTCCAAAATAAGTGATTTTTTGGCCTTTTTTTTGTGGTCCAAAATAAGTGATTTTTTCAGATTTCAAAAATGAATTAATTATTTTTTTCCTACATTGTCCTTGAAGTAAATGGTGTTGAAATATGTGTTAGGAGTGTTTATGTGAGATAGTAAAGGTTAATATGGTCAATTCCATTGCTAATTGATGGTAAAAGGTGGATTTCTTAATTTGTGTGAAAATATCCAAAGAAATCACTTATTTTGGACCGGAGGGCCTTTTTTTTGTGGTCCAAAATAAGTGATTTTTTCAGATTTCAAGAATGAATTAATTATTTTTTTCCTACATTGTCCTTGGAGTAAATAGTGTTGGAGTATGTGTTAGGAGTAATTATGTGAGATAGTAAAGGTAATATGATCAATTTCATTGCTAATTAATGCTAAAAGATGAATTTCTTAATCTGTGTAAAAACATCCAAAAAATCACTTATTCTGGACCGGAGGGAGTATCATTTTGTTGTTGTTGTCATTCTCTTCAATAATACTAATTTATTCTGTCTCTAAATAAAAAGTATTTTTTCCCATTTGGCACTGTTAATAAAATATGACTTAGAGGTTAAAATACAGTATCAAATGGTCCTTGTACATACTTCATCTATCTTATTTTACGTGACACACTTATCTTTTTAGTCTATTAAAAAATATTTTTATATTTAAAAAGAATTTAACTATGATCTCTTACTTTATCCTTTCTAAAATAATTTAAATGGGAGCCTTGGATTAACGGTAAAATTATCTCAGTATAGTTTATAGGTCACGGATTCGAGCCATAGAAGCAACCATTAATACTTGTATTAGAAAAGGGTAGGCTGTCTATATTACACCCTTGGAGTGCAACCCTTACTCCGATCATGCACGAATGCGGGATGCTTTGTACACTGAAATGTCTTTTTTCTTAAAATAATCTATAACCATACAAATATCTATCAATTTTTAAATCGTAAATTTCAACAGTATTTCTTTATTTCTTTCTTAAATTTGGAACTTCATCAAACACAGTCACATAAAAAGAACTGAGAGTATACATGTGTACTAGTAGAGATACAGATACCCTTTTTTTCTCAGCTCTGCACATCCAAAGATAGACAGGAGAGTAGGCCATCTAAAAAGAAAGTGAATCCCAAACACCACTACAAAAACCAAGACTCTTTTTTTCCAGAAAAAAAGAAAAACAGATTTCAAGAACAAATAATAGAATCTCATCTCAGCCCTTCATATCCCTTCCTGATATCTCAAGCAAAAACAAAAAAAACCCTTCAAGCTGAAATCTTTTCTCTCAATATCTTCTTCAAAAGAGCAAAAAAAAAAAAAATAACCATGTTATAATATTTCAAGAATCTCCCACAAATGGGCTTACACAAAAAACCCTTTTGTATTTTCACTCTTTTCTTGGTCATTCTTGCAATTTTCAAGCTCATTCCACTAACTGAATCTGCATCTGAAAACACTAATTTAGTATACAAAGGCTGTGCAAAACAAGCATTATCAGATCCATCTGGTGTTTACTCACAAGCACTTTCAACTCTTTTTGGCTCACTAGTTTCACAATCTTCAAAGTCAAATTTTTACAAAACTACTACAGGCAGTAGTCAAACAACAATAACTGGTCTTTTCCAATGTAGAGGTGACCTTTCAAATGTTGAGTGTTATAACTGTGTTAGTGGTTTGCCAATACTAATAGACAAACTTTGTGGCACTCCTGTTGCAGCAAGAATTCAGCTTTTAGGCTGTTATATGCTATATGAGGTTTCTGGTTTTCCTCAAATATCAGGAATGGAAATGTTGTATAAAACTTGTAGTGGTAAAAATGCTCAAGGGAGTGGATTTGAAGAGAAAAGAGACACTGCTTTTTCTTCATTGGAAAATGGGATGGCTAGTGCTACCAATGGATTTTACACAACTAGTTATGAGTCTGTTTATGTTGTAGGACAATGTGAAGGGGATGTAGGCTCATCTGATTGTGTTGAGTGTGTTAAAAGTGCTGTCCAAAAAACTCAAGTTGAATGTGGTAGCTCAGTTTCTGGTCAAATTTTCCTACACAAGTGCTTTGTTAGTTTTAGTTATTATCCAAATGGGGCTCCTAAAAAATCATCTTCTTCTTCATATTGGTCTCCATCTCCTTCTTCAGGTATTTTCTTGAATTATTTGATTTCTTGAATTTGTTCATTCAATTAGATTGACAATGTAGGGAAGCCTTAGAACAATGGTCAATTTGTTTCCGTGTGACCTATAGGTCACAGGTTCGAGCCATGCAATTAGCCACATGTTAGGCTTCCTGCATCATACCTCTTGAGGTGCGGTCCTTGTTAAGACCTTGCATGAACGCGGAATACTTTGTACACCAGACTGTCTGTTTTAATTAGATTGACAATGGTTTCTGGTTTTTGCAAGTTCTATAACATCCTAATCAAGATTTGTCTTTCTTGGACTTTTGAGCTGTCTAAAACAAGGGCAGCCTGTTGCATTAATCTCCCACTATGCGCGGGGTTCGAGTAATGCTTGAACCACAAGGGTCTATATCATATGCAGCCCTATTCAGCATTTTTGCAAGAGGCTATTTTGATGGCTGGAACCCACAATCTGTTGATCACGAGGCAACAACTTTACCAGTTACAATAAGGCTCACTTCAAGGACTTTTTGAGCTGTCTACCTCATTAAATTAGTTTGTACATATTATTAAAAAAGACTCTTAGAATAAATAAAGGGACCATGTAAAATTGATTTAATAATATGTCACTGTTAACAAGATGTTTGTCTACCTTAGATTTGTGTGCTATCACTTACAGATTTGTTATCAATATTTTTATAGTAATGAGAGTTGTGTTCAATGAATGTAGGGACAGGCCAAAACACAGGTAAGACAGTGGCTATAATACTAGGAGGAGCAGCAGGAGTTGGTTTTCTAGTCATTTGTTTGCTGTTTGCTAGGAACTTAACGAAGAAACATGATGGTAAGTACTTAGACTTAAAGTGTGTTTGGTATGAAAAAAATATTTTTTGGAATTCAAAAAATTTTTTTTCTCACTTTCCAAAATATAGAAACTATTTCAAGAAAGTTGTTTTCCCATTTTAATGAAAATATTTTTTGGTATTTGGTCGCTGGAAAAAGACATATTTTTCGGAGAATGTTTTCTGTCATACCAAACACACCCTAGTGATAGTTAATTCTTTACTAATTCTTTACTATGGTTTTAAATATTGCCACTTGCTTATGTTGGTATATTATGATTTAAATATTTGCTGCAGATTATTGAAGGGATCGGCTGTTGTATTATAAAGGCTGGCAAAAGCTATTTCTGAGGTGGATTCTTTCCTTGATTAGATTTTCTTCCTAGAAGAAAAAGAATTTTTCTTTTGTGGAAAAAAAAAAGTGAGTGATTTTATGAGCTGTAATTCTTGGAATTATTATTAGGTTAAAGAGAAAAAACAAAAAACCATTGAGCAGAGAGTATTTTTGGGGTGATGAAACTGAGATGAATGGGACATAAATTTTTGGTGAAATGATGTAACAATACTATGTTTTGTCAACTGTGAAAAAGATTATTAATGGTTTTGGCCTTTTTCTCCAATTGCCATGTGCCTTGTTGTCTTTTTTTCTCTTTGTCTAGAATAGTGGTTCACCATTTTCTTTTAAAGTTTTATGCTTTTCAGAAAGTTCTCTCTCTGTATTTCTACTTATTTAATGCATGAATTAAAAATTAATATATGTACTTGGGTCAATATCCAAGAATAACATTGTGGTTTTGGCATCTTCAGCAGTTCACTGAAAATGTTTTACCTCAAACTTTATATGGTGAAGGACAGAAATGGAGATGGCAGGGAAGTTTAGTAGGACATAAAAAATCAGAATTTTTGAAAAAAAAGTAATATTTGTAGTTAAGTTGAAAAATGGTATTTGGAAACTGAAATTATGTTTGTACATGTATTTTACTTGAAAAAATGTTACAGTTTTGTTAATGGGGAAAAAAAATTTCTTAAATTTTTTAAAAAGTGATTTATTTTGAAAAATTCATCTTCGAATTTTTTGTCAAAAACTTACAAAATTTTATGGACAAATACAATTTTGAAAAAAAATAATTCGAAAGCGGAGAAGGTAAGTATTTAGAGTTAATGGACAAACGGGTCTTTAGAATTAATTTTACTTAAGAAGGTAAGTATTGGAAGAATGGAATAATTCATTTGGTGCTAATGGAGATGATATATTGAGGGGATTTATGATTTAAACTTTATGAATTCGAGTCTGAGATTCTGCCATAACTCATTTGATTTTCTGGGCTCGAAATCAATTATGTGTACTTCTTTTAATATATTTTTTAAAGAGACTGTGATTAGTTACTTGCTGATTTTCACATGTCTAGTAAACCAAGGCTAGAAGGTCGGGAATTCCCGACCCTTATGATCGACTAACCCATGTGCAAGCGCCGTTCACATTGAATTTCCGAGAAGCGTTCCATGCATTTTGAAAATTCAGATACCTGGAAAAGGTTATGCAGTTTTTGTTTGGACTTCTAAACTTCAAAATCACCACACTTTTCATTATTGATCTTCAACTATTGATGTCACCCCTTTTTCAGTATACCGTCACAATAAAAGAATCTTCTTTTTCCCAGAACTGAGCTATCCTTTTCTTGTTTATGACTTCTTTATGTACCTTTCTCAGATTCTGAACAACATAAAACTTCTCATATGGAGTTGGAATCACTAGAATCTAGATGGGGTTTCGGTTTAGATTTATGTATTAGCTATGCCTTAATAGTATGCAAGGTTTTAGTTGGGGGAAAGAAGAGTTGAGGCAATGTGACTAAAAGAGAGATCTGAATTTAGTCACCAAATTTTTACCCAACAACAATAACAACAACAACCCAGTGAAATCCCAAAGTGGGGTCTGGGGAGGTTAGTGTGTACGCAGACCTTACCCCTACTCCGGAGGAGTAGAGAGGCTATTTCCGATAGACCCCGGCACAAGAAGATGGAACGAGACAGTGTAGCATTAACAGCAAAAGAGAAATTTTTACCCAATAAACTGAAAATTGTCTCAAGTCTCAGCTCATCATGGAAGTAAAAACTAACATATATGAAGAAAACAGCCAAAAAAAAAAAAGAAAAGAAAAAGAAATTAAAGTGTAATAAAGCAGTGTCCACTGTCCACTTTACTTCAAGGGCTAACACAATCAAGAATCATGGAAATTGAATCCCCAGAGTAGTAATTCTGCAGAATTGGCCACTTCTTAAGTGACTAAAATCTCTCAAGAACAGAGTGGAAACTCCAACTTCCTTCCTTAAACTCATGTTTTTCACTTTTCACCAACCAATTCATTTTTCGGGTTCGAACCTTTTGAGAAAATGGTGTTCAGCACCTTGACCTTCACCCGCCTTTTTGCGCAAACTCATGCTTACCTATCCTTCTATCCATACATTGCTTCAAGCCTTCAACAACACAATACAGTACAATGTTACATACAGTACAAAACAACACATTATGAGACAACGAGAAAAATCAACCCAAACGCAGTAAAAAGATAATTACCTCAACTTGCAGCCGGTTACCAAGCCTCTTCTTTTATGTCAACTCTTAGGATGTGAGCAATCTTAGGCCAGTCCTCTCCTACTTCCTTCTCGCATCTTTGCTTCAGACTTGATGAACATCTTGTAACAATTAGCACTTGCAACGCTGCGAGAGATCGCATGCCTTCTGGAAAGGATGTCAACATAGGTGAAACATCAATTTCCAATCGATTAAGGGCAATGAGGTCGCCTATCCATTCAGGTATTGTTGTGAAGTTAGGACATCCCGAATCACTATAGACTTCAAAGTACCCGAGAAATGTTGGAGCCAAACTGGAAGCGACATTAGCTTGTCAAGCATGTTAACACTGAAAGATAAATTCCCTGGGACATCAAATTGCATTGCCTCTTCGTTCGACAAATCAAGCAGAGGGCAATTCTCTATGCATAAAAACTCAAGGGAAGTGAGATGAGTTAGACATCTGGATAGAGAGACCAGATTTCTGCAGTTACTAATAAACAAGGATTGGAGCGAAGTGAGACACTTGAACGAATCCTCTGGCATAGATAGAAAATAGACTCAAGCTATTTACATTGAGAAGAGGAGAAGGATGAGGAGGTGGGCAAAGAATTTGCTTCAATATCTTCTCGCTTATTATCCCCAAATAAAGTTGTTTTAGGGAAGGGAAGTAGCACTCATATGTAGGAGAATTTGATGGTAGCATGAATTTATCATCATCACCTTCTATGCTCTCCACGACGCCAAGATTCCATTGGAGTACAAGATCTTCGAGAGAAGGCAGTCGCCATAATGGTGGGAGCTTTTGGCATTTATGACAATCTCTGATATTTAGATAAACAAGCTTGGGTAACAAAAGGCCAAGATTATCAACCATCAACCAACTTGGGAACCTTGATCCACTATAATTTTCTATTTGCAAGCTTTCAATGTTTTGGTGCGGCTGCAGGGCCTCCAACATTATCAGATCAGCTCCAGTATCATCCTCTTGATTTCCAAATTCGAACTCTACGAACAGCTTCTGAAGATGTTTTATTCTTTTCACTACATCGGTAGGTATTCTTTCTCCAATTGCACAGGCTCGTCCCATGAACTTAATGTGTAATCTATTTCTGAGATCAGCAAGGCTCTTTAATTCATCCAACTTGTCACTTGCCAAACCAGATATACAACTTTCTTTGCCTACAACAAAACTTGTCAATGTCCGTAGAGATGTCAATTGGCCAATTCCAGGTGGCATATCTTCCAATGAACCGCAACCATCAAAATCCAGATGCGTGACACTTGCCAACTGCCAAAGTCCTGGTGGAATATGGGTTAATGATTGGCACCACGAACATATCAAACTTCGAAGACTCACCAATCTCCATATATCTCTTGGCAATTTTTTGAGTTTAATGCAATTAACCAACTTTAAAACTTGTAGATTATGCAGCTTCGTGATGGAATTTGGTAAAGTAACAATGCTTCTAGAGGAAATAGCAAGATATCTTAGATGCTTCAGTGCACCTAAAGATTGAGGCAAAATTTTTATCTGCAGGTGACATAGATGCAGAACGCGTAAACATTCAAAACTTGCAAGCATTCTCTCTAACGTTGAATTGCTCATAACACTGTATGGAGACCCATTTAGGTAAATAAATGTCCGCAACTTCATATGCTTCGCATAGAAGGGTTCGGGAAATGCCAATGAACCATTAATCTGGAATAAACAAGAAGCATGGAGCGCTTGTTCTGGGACAATCTCTGTATCTTCTGTTTTAGTGATACAGAAGAACTCCCTATCCGCAACTTCTTTCGCAAGATCATGAATAAGATCGTGCATTTTGTAAAATTGCGGAAATGATTTTTCTTCAGTTTCTTGAAAGAATGACCTTCTTAACAAATCCACAAAATATGAATTTGCAACGTCCTCCACATTGTCTCTGTTGCTAGTAGTTGATTGAATAAAGCCTTGAGCGATCCACATATCAATCAAATCAACTCTGTCAATTCGGAAATCCTTTGGAAAGAGGGAACAATATGCGAAGCATATCTTTAGATGGTGAGGAAGGTGATTATAGCTCAATCTCAAAATGGCCATGACACTGTCGCCTCCTCGTGTGATACTTGACAAATCTTGATTCTTGAAATATATCCACTCATCCTCCGTTCTTTTTAGGCGTAGTAGGCTTCCTATTGACCTTATTGCAAGAGGAACTCCTCCACACTTTTTCAAAATTTCCTTTCCTATTTCCACCAAACTCGAATTTTCACTCTCTTTGGCACATTCAAACGCCATTTTTTCAAACAATGCCCATGCCTCTTCTTTTGAGAGGTCCCCTAATTTATGTTGGCGAACGCTACCTGAAACTTCCGCAACTACAACTGAACGAGTAGTTACTAAAATCTTACTTCCCTTGGCTCCACCGATCAACATATTTTTCAATCTCGACCATTTCAAGGCATCTTCGTTCCACACATCATCGAGCACCAGTAGGTATTTCTTCCCATCAAGCATTTCTCGAAGCTGGTTTTGCACAGCATCTAGTTGAAGGTAATTAGCCTTCTCCCCTCCTGCAGATTCGACGATTTTTTCTGCAATCACTTTCACTTCAAAAACATCTGAAACACAAACCCACAATCTTTTATCAAATCTTTCCTGAACCATTTCACTATTATACACCGATTGCGTGAGAGTGGTCTTTCCTAGTCCACCAAGGCCAACTATTCATATAACCGCAACATTCTCATTTACCTCAGAATTCATAAGAAAATCGAGAATTTTCGTTCTATCATCATTCCTTCCAATGACTTCTCCATCGGGCACAAATGAATAAGTCTCTCTATCCAAATTAGACTCAAGAAGCAAAGGTTGCCTCTTTTCAATAAGGTTTAAGTAGGCCTTACCTTTTGCAATTACATCTAGTTTTTCTCGAATGGCCTTGAGACGCTTACTTATCTTAACATTATAAAGCACAGGATTTGACTTTGAGAAGAAGATGCTTACCTTACTCACCAATTTTCGATGTGTCACTTCAGTAGCAAAGTCATCCAAGAGATCATCAGCCTCAAAGAAAACTGTTTTAAGTTTCCTTATCCAATCCCTCACCTCATGGCTACTCTGCTGCTGCTCCTCCGCGTCAATTAGTACAGCTTGGATTGAAGAAACTGTACCAGAAAGCTTGCTAAGTTCATCGCTTAGTCCACAAATTGATCCTACTTCTTGGGCTGCAAGAGAACCCAAGTTTTTCAAGATTTCAGCAGCAAGCCCGTAAAGAATTTCAGCCATGATGAGAAAGTAATATGATTTGAAGATCAACAACCTTTTTGTTGCAAAATGTGAGTCTTTAGTATTAGAAGTAGCCTTTACCTAACACATTTTATTAAAGAATGGATGAAGACCTTGACTTGGACCCCAACAATCATTGAACTCTAACAATAATTAGATCTTCTTTTATTATTAGTGTAAACCTGTTGTAGCACATAACTTGCTTCGTTTTCTAAGTTAGTAAGTTGGTACTAATATGTAACTTCTTACTGACAATTCCGTGTAAATTTCTCTTTAATAGGTGAACCTATCGTGAGGTGGTTAACTCCATGTACCAATTGATATCGTAACAAGCGAAGCTAAGATTTGAAGTTTATAGGTTAGTGAATATATCAAACACTGTTGGGTTTTTTAAAAGATGGGCAGTAAAAAAAGATTAAAAATATTGATTGAAAATGTCTCTCAATAATTTTATTAAGCATAAAAAGGCTTTAAATAGCCAAATTGGAACAAAAAGTCCAAATAATTTAAAATTCAAAAAACCTAAAATATCTCAACTAACTTGAAATTTAAAATTGAAATTCATCCTTAAACTAACCAACTTATTATCCTAAAAATGTTATTACAGCAGTTGAAAGCAACAAAATTTCAACAAACACATAGCTCGTTTAAGTTAGAGTGAATAGCATTTAAGGATTAATAGACAAACTTAGATAGAAACCAAATTAAAACTATACATTTCACCCCCACAAGCATCAAGGTGGTGGAAATTAATTGAAAAGCTGCAAAGCTATCTCAGCTCATCACAAAATCAAAAATTTAAAAGAGAAATAAAGATAACAGCAAAAAAAAAAAATCAAAGAAATTGAAGCTTCAGAGTAGCAATTCAACTTTTTAAGTGACTCAAATTTCCTTACAACAGAGTGGGAACTCCAATTTCTTTTCTTAATCTCATGGTTTTCACCAATTAATTCAGTTTTTGGATTCGACCCTTTTGAGAAAATGGGTTCAGCACCTTGACTTTGACCCACCTTGTTCTGCAACTTTGCAAATTCACTTGTCCAAATATCTATCAGACCAGACATATCTCTGCACTTTGCTTTATGTAGATGTTATATGTGTTTGTTTTCTTTTTGATGTTTTAGTTGGGGGAAGAAGAGTTCGAGGAAATGATCAAAAGAGAGATCTGAATTTAGTCACAAAACTAGTTAATTTATTTAGCAAGAAATATTAAAATATGCATGAATTATTACGGGATAATGCATACCCCAACCTATAATTCATTTACCAACTACACACCTTTTCTTTTCGGGTGTCCTATTACCCTGAAGTTATTTTTACCATAATTGATTTAACATTATATGCTCAATTAAACCCGACCCCCATCTATAAGACTTTCGGTGTATACACGTGCTAATGGGTCCCACCCAATTCCCTTTTATTTTATCAGATCCCTTTTATTCTAAATTAAATTAAACCCGACCCTATTTCAATATTTCCTTTCACATAGCATATATTACAATGAAGTTACATACCACAATGACAAAAAAGAGAGTTGTTACAACCTTAACCAAACACTTCTAGATAATTGCTAACTCACAAAACAACTACTACTGCAGCAAAACTGCTATTGCGGCTTCATTTGATCACTCTCCAAGTTGCCTACTTGGATTAGGCAGTAATCAACGCATAACAACAAAGACAAAAAACACAATACACAAAATGAACTTCCTATTAGGCCAACACCAGGTCCTTTTCTTTTTCTCTTTTGCCCTTTTTCATCGTGAGTCACAACCAAATTAATATTGGCATTTTTTAGACTTTCAAGCTCAACCAACTGCATCTTGAGGCTTTTATAATGTGCCAATTCTTATTCCATCTCTTTAATTTTGTAGAACAATCTTGGAAGAATAAACTTCGATCTTTCGTCAACTTCATTGTCCCTCCATTGAAAAAATTTACAACTCTTGGCCTGAAATTTTTATAAATTGGAATCTATTTAATGACAATACACGAAGTTAATCAACCACAATAGACGGGTTAGAAATGAACACATACACCATAGTAGAGGCAAGACCAAAATCTTCGACCAGGATTACGCTTCGACTAAGAAGTCTGCATTTGCAACAAAATTCCATGTTTGCATCGCACTTCAACATTGAACATTGGGTCTTCATTGTCCGTACATAATCTATTCAAGTTGGTATTTGTCATTTCATAACCCTAATTCCTAAAATATAAAAATTGGGGAAGAAATTTCAAACCCTAACATAAAGATTATGAAATGAATTGACTAAAGATTAGTAATTTCTACTCTATTGATTGAAACTCACCTCAATTTCAGCAGCAGCAGCAGCAAAATTTCTTCAACAATGGTAGATAGCCTTTAAGTTTAGAAAGAGTAAAAAGATAATGGGTTCAATTAAAATAGCTAAGTTTAACGTTTGGGACCCTTTTTTATGGCTTATTTGGCATTACACGTAGCGATTGAATAGCAGACGGGCCTTTTAAAATTAGTCCTCACGCGCTTGGAAGAGGTGTAATCACGGTCGGGTTTAATTGAGCATATAATATTAAATCAATTATGGTAAAAATAAGTTCGAGGGGGGGAGGGAGAGGGGGGGGGGGGGTAGGAGGGAGGGTGATAACACAAAGGTTGGGAGATCCAAGAACTTAAAGAAAATAAGTTGATTAAATACGGAAGCAGTAAAAAAATGCAAGCGGATTAAGAAAAGCAAGAAAAATAAACTAGATATGTCGAAATTCAAGGAAAGGTCCAAGAACCCCGAGATTATGTTAATCTAGATTTTGACAAGATCCTAATGACAACAAGTTGGTTATGAAATCAATTGCCTTCACTAGAGATAAGCTAATCAAGAACTAGATTCGGATCTTGACTTCTAGTTTGAATAACTTACGACAACAACTAGTAAAAAAAACTAGTCGCCTTCGAAGAATATCAAAAGAAACCAAAGATATCACAAGAAAGAAAATTATCTTACTACCTTGAGCTATGAACTAGTTAGGGTTGCAAGATAAATCTCAAAGTAAAGTTCACAAAGGTTCAAAAGAACTCACAATAATAATATTAATCTTCAATGTCCTTCTACAATGGAAGACAAGCACCCCTTTATATAGTAGTAAAGAAAGAGCTAGTCAATACTTCAATAAATGAGAATTATATTCCCTAGAAGCATAGAAGACTACCCACACTAAGACCAATGCAGTCAACATACACCTAGACCAATGCAAGTCAACATAGATTCAAACAATTATTAAATATATATTCTAGAAACTATTTTTGGGCTTATTTGGGCTGCTGAAAATTCCTCTCTTTTGGGGCATATTTGGGCCTCATTCCATCTCCTCTTGGACTTTAATTTGGGCCTCCAAATAGTTGTAAGACTTGGCCCAAAGAACCTCCTTGTGCTGGAGCTCTTCCTCTATTATAAGATACTTTTTAATTGCCAATTGAAGCCCATTAAGCTTGTCTTGAAATTTCTTTGTTTGAGACCTTGTCATGGGCCTTCTAGAAGCTTCCAAAGCTTCATCCTTCTCCTTTAATGATGTTGAGCTGCCATGGATGCTATCATTCCCCTCTTCTTGAAGAGAATTCGTTCTCGAATTCGAGCCTGCATCAAACAAGGAAAGATCAGAAACATTGAAGGTAGCACTAACTTGATATTCACTAGGAAGGTCAAGTTAGTAAGCATTGTCTCCAATCCTTTCAAGGACTTCAAATGGCTCATCTCCTCTTGGATCTAATTTGGATCTTCATTTGGCAGGAAATCTTTCCTTCCTAAAACGAACCCAAACTAAATCTCCAGGCTTAAAAATAACAGATTTTCGCCCCTTATTTTTTCTTAAGGCAGTTTGTTCATTCTTCCGTTCAATTGCAAGCCTTGTATGTTCATGAATCTTCTTCATCATTTCAGCCTTATTCCTACCATCAAGATTAACAATGTCATTAGTAGGCAAATGCAACAAATCAAGGGGAGTGAGGGGATTAAATCCATAAACAACTTCAAAAGGAGACTTACCAGTAGAAGAGTGGATAGTTCTATTATAGGCAAACTCTACCATGGGCAAATGTTCTTCCCAAGAAGTTAATTTTCCTTTTAAAACAACTCTCAACATATTCCCTAAGGTCCTATTAACTACTTCAGTTTGCCCATCAGTTTGTGGGTGACAAGATGTAGAAAATAGCAATTTAGTTCCCAACTTCGCCCAAAGAACTCTCCAAAAGTGACTTAAAAATTTAGCATCCCTATCACTAACGATAGTTTTAGGTATGCCATGTAATTTAACCACTTCCTTCACAAATAAATCAGCTACATGTAACGCATCATTAGTCTTCAAGCATGGAATAAAACGAGCCATTTTTGAAAACCTATCTACCACCACAAATATACTATCCTTACCATACTTAGTTCTAGGAAGTCCTAACACAAAATCCATAGAAATATCAATCCAAGGAGAAGTAGGGACAGGTAAAGGAGTATAAAGACCATGTGGTAACACTTTTGATTTGGCTTGTTTACATTCAAGATATTGAGAGCACACTTTTTCAACATCCTTTCGCATGCCAGGCCAAAAAAATGTTCAGCAAGTATATCCAAAGTTTTGGGCACTCCAAAGTGTCCCATGAGTCCACCACAATGTGCTTCCCTAACAAACAATTCACGCAAAGAGCAATTAGGAATACACAATTTATTTTCCTTAAAAAGGAACCCATCTTGAAGATTGAACCTCTCATAAGGACCCAACTTACATTCGGCAAAAGCCTTGCCAAAATCAGAATCATTAGAATAAAGCTCCTTGATTTGATCAAAACCCATCAATTTAGAAGTAAGAGAAGAAACCAAGACATACCTTCTTGAAAGTGCATCAGCAACCACATTCTCTTTTCCTTGCTTGTAAGCAATCACATATGAAAAAGTTTCAATGAATTCAACCCATTTTGCATGACGACGATTAAGCTTACCTTGGCTTTTCAAATATCTCAAGGATTTATGATCAGTCTTAACCACAAACTCTCCTGGCCATAAATAATGTTGCCATGTAGCTAAAGCCCTTACCAAAGCATATAACTCTTTGTCATAAGTTGAGTAGTTCAGTATAGCTCCACTCAGCTTTTCACTAAAGTATGCAATGGGCTTCGAGTCTTGCATTAAAACAGCACCTATTCCTTTTCCAGAGGCATCACATTCAACCTCAAAAGATTTAGAAAAATCGGGTAATTGCAAAAGAGGAGCACGAGGCTAAACAATATTTCTTTCTAAATTAAAAGCTCATCTTGTTCTTTTCCCCATTAAAAACCTTTCTTCTTAACAACTTCAGTTAAAGGAGCAACAATGCTGCTAAAAATCTCTAACGAATTCCTATAAAAACTAGCAAAGCCATAATACTCCTAACTTCAGTTGCACCGTGTTAGGTTTAGGCATCTTTGATGCCTGATTTTCTTTCATCAAATTCAACTCCCTTAGAACTAACCACAAAACCCAAGAATACCAACGATCCACACAAAAAGT